AACATGTATAAATTCATGTTTCTAAATGTCCACACTTACACTTTATTTGGTTTACATGTGTTCAACTGTACCCTCTTTACAGTGTAAAGTACTTAGTAACTGAGACCAAGCCTTTAAATTTTTTACATATTTTTGTATAGCATATCTTCAGTTAGAATTGAGTGACTATTGTGATGGCTTTTCATTTAAATTACTTGTATTGATTTGTTTATCTATAAAGTAGTACAGTATATAATGGAAAAGTATACTGTCAAGGGAATTCATGAAGACTGAATGACCACCAGAGTCAGCCAGGAAGTAGTTTGCTGGTGATAGACTATGGGACTTTACACTTGACCCTCTCTTACTTAGTCTCAATGTATATAATTAAATCCTGAGGACACAAAGCTGGTCTTATGGTGATGCTAAAATGAATTAAATAATCAAACCCCAGAAGTTACTGATAAGGTCAATTTAAGCTAATAATTTTATATTTAAAAGGAAACAAAAAGTAAAGTCTTACTCTCAGATATAATAACAATACCAATATTAATAACTGCTCAAGCACAAAAAGAAGGAGATACGGCCTAGCAGCAGCACATATGTTTTAGAACACTTTTGGATAAGAACTTATCTCAAATCTACTTGAGTTATTTGTGATGATGAAGGAATTAAAAACTAGAATAAATGGGCGAGAGAACTGGTGAGATCCAGCACAAAAGAGAGGATTTACTGATGGCAAATATCACAAGGAAGAGGAATTTAAATTGTTTTGGATGACTCCCAGTGGTTGATGGAGAATTGGTGGAAATTTCAGAAAGTCAGGTCATTATACAGAAAAGCAGACTAGTAGGTGAAATACTGCTTCTGAATTTAAGTCCTATATTCTCTCACTCATATTAGAAATCCTAATCACCAGTAGGAAACTCAGAGTATATGGGAACTGCTTCTTGGGAAAGATGTAATCGTGGTGTTTTAAGCATCTTTAATTGATTAACCTAAATAACCTTTGATGACACTGCTGTTCCTTATTTTGTGACAAAATGGAGCAACTATTAAGGTAACTTTTTGTGAAATAGGTTGGAATCAAGATAAGAAAGATATGAAGAAAGTTGCGGGGGCATAGATAGAAAATACAATATTTGGTAGAAATAAAACTCTTATATGTAACTTCATTACCTAAAGTAATAGTTCACTGACTTTGGAGGATTTTCCTCTGATGCCATTGGACTGCTAAAGTAAGTTTTATATCAAATAGAAAAAGGGTTTTAAGAAGAAAAAAGATTTTGAAAAGAAGTCCTCAAAAAGGCCAATTTCATATAAAATGTAAGCAAGCATCAAAAAAAAAAAAAAAAAAAAAAAAAAAAAAAAAAAAAAAAGGTGCACTACAACGAAAAATGTGACTGTAAACAAAAAAGCACCTTACAGTGAAGGGCACTGTATACCAGCATAATTAAGTCCTTTATAATAACAACACTCCTCTGACACATAAGACAAAATACTGACACAGAAAGGCTTAAAACAAATGAAAATGTACCCTATCAAAAAAAAAAAAAAAACTTTTTGAAGCTACTTAAAGAATATTCTTTATTGGATTCGTTCAATGCTTTTAATGTAATCAACTAGAATTACATTCAAGTGCTGCCTTCTATAACTTTTTGAAATGATAAATTTGATTCTTGATGGGGAATCTGCATTTCATCACAAGGATAAAATCCAGTGTCCTTGGCCAAGATATTCTTCACAGAAGTAGGCTATTTTTGTATTTTATGCTTAGCATATTTAAAGACACACAGTCCAGGTGAGTAACTTGCTCCAAAATGCACTCAATCTTTATCTGTGAATAAGGCTCCATTGCTTCAGCACCTACCCTTCAACAGATCCTTTTTCAATACTCTCCTCATGACTATCCTGAAAATTTTTCTGGAGAGCCTACTGCAGGTACCTTCACGTATACCAATACTCTTTGATGCCAGGTAAACTGACAGTTGTCATGACCAGAGGTTAAGTGTGGTGCAAATGATGTGGCAGAAGATTGAAAAGTATGTAAAAGAATATTACAACAGAATTCTAGCTGGTTTAGAAAGCAAACAGAAAATATCTCCCAGCTTAACTTTGATATAAAATGAAATAAGAAAGGGTTATAAAAACAGTTGGGGCATTCAAATAATAGGATGCCCCAACTGTGATTGTAAAGTCCATCAAAATTAACCATGGAAATGAAGGTACACTAATCTAGTCACTTAGTACTTTTACTATACGATGCTAGCTTAACTATACGAGCTATTCTTCTAATACTAGTTTAACTATGCTAACTTCTAATTTAAAAAACTATGATGATAAATTTACTACAGAATGGCTAATTTGGAAAGGAGAGGTGAAGGTCACTGGAGGTTCCAGAATTTCTAAGCTCCAAATTGTTAATATCCAAACTGGCCTCTTTCCTGAATAGTGCCCAGATGGCAGAGACAACAGTGATATGTGGTCTTAGCTGCTTTTTGACAAGGAACTGTCACCAGTAGGTGACCCCATCAGTCTGAAGGCAGGAAAATTACTAAATGATGCAAGGAAATGCCTGCAGGCCAGTACACCATGGGTCCCTGAGAAGCAGGAGGGCAGAACCTCAGGAAAAATGAATTTTCAGCTGGTGCTTATACAAAAGAGACTGTTACGTTTCTTTGCAGATAGGAGAAAATAAAATCAATTTCATTTCCATACATATTATGTCTAATAAGAATAGGAACAAATTCTCCTTGAGAGGAAATAAGATCATATGTAAAAGGTAGGGGAATGGCGTCATCTCTTGATAATAGACACGAAAGTTAGCTCTGACACTGCTCTATGAACACAACGTAGTCTAGAATCAACTACTACAATAGTATGGAGACATAATCTCTGCCGCACAAAGTCAGTCAGAAGGCAGAAAGGAAATAAAGTAATCCAAATTAATATGGGGTGAAATTTTAATATTAGCCCTTCCTGAGCAAAATTGGCAAACACAAGTCAAATTAATTTTCCAAAAACATAATTCTACTTGTCAGAAAGCAACCCACTATAAGCAATTATTTTTAGCAAAGTGATGCAACTGAAAAACAAATTGAAGATAGATAGGGATGTCTTTACTCTTCACTACCCCAACATAAAATGATGCTATATTAAAATATGGGAAATAAAACTAGGGTATAAAAGTAATGAACTATTACTTTTGGAAAGAGGAATTTATACTTCTAGTATCTATAAACTATTACCTAGCTCAACGGAGGGAGAATTATTTAATATTTAAATAAATCACATTCCATCTAGATTTTGCCATTACCTTGTAGAGAGATCTAATGCTGATAATTAACACATCTTTAATTTGTGCTTTCAAGATGTTCCATCTAAGCACCAGAGGAAACTATGTTAAACATTAAAAAAGTAGGAAATTAACATTAAACATTAATATGCAAGAGATTAGCATTTGAACCTAAAATTGTTTCTTAAAATAGTTATATGAGATTTTGTTGAAAAAGAGATTTGCCATTCACTATTAAAAATCAAGATTCAGAAATATGAGTCAGCTGTTAAAAGTCACAATATTGCGGCAGAAAGTTTTTCCCCCAAAGGCAAATTCCAAAATTATAATGCATAATTCTACATTGTTTTTGTTTGTTTGTCCTGAAAACTCTGCTCCCTTTATAAATTAAAGCATTGGTTTTCATTAATAATCACCATATAACCACATCAGTAAGAATGCTTTTTAATTTTGAAATCAGAGTTCACACCAGTGGCTGAGTATTGTGTAACTGTTGCAAGAACATGAAGTCATGCCTTTCTTTCCTGGCCTTTCTTTCAATAATTTGATATTTAAAAATATGAATGCAGCAATATTCTCAAGATTATCTTCCATATGCTAACATATATATATATACATATATATATACACATACATATGTGTGTGTGTGTGTGAATTGCCGTAGGCAATTGGTATTTAATCCAGGTCTCAGTTTCTTTATAGACCTAACAAGGGAGTTAAGAGTGAATGACTCAAAAGTCTCATTTTATCCCCAAATCTGCATAGGCTGAGAGAAGGAGAGTAAGGGAAATCTTTAAAAAAAATACTTTGAGAATTCATGTAAGACTCTATAAAAATCAAAGTTTTTAACCTCAAATAAATCTATTTCTTTTTTTAAGCCATTTTACACCTAATTTCTACTACCCTTTTATTAGTAACTGATCTAACTAAATTCTAATGAGCAAAATCATCGTGTTAGAAGAAAAAGACTAGAAACCAAACTCAAATCTAAGAGGTCACCAGTGCTATTTCTCATAAAACAAGATAATTCTTGGGAGGAGTGAGGGCATCTGGATGATTTTAACATACTTAATAGAAAGAAAATAAATATATGATTTAAACTATTTACTTTTCCTTTGTATCCGAGGCACCCTAGAATTTGAAGTAAGTTTCTGATATACAGAGGAAGATGGACGCATGAATCCAACATTCCAAGGAAGCTCTGTATGTGAAAGAGGGGGAACCACACACTAGGACAAAGAAGCACCTTCAGCTGTTGGAGACAAGATAAAGCTTTCAAGACCAATTTAGGTGACAGCAAGTTTTGTTGTTTTGGTTTGTTTCCCCAGTTGCTCATATTGGATTAGTCTGTGAAGCTTGGAAAACCACAGCCAGTCATTTAAGGGTAGTATACCACCTTGGGCAAACAAGCCTTTCAAACACAAACTCAGAATGTGAGACAAACATGTAGCCCAAAAACTACAGTTGGATACTACTCACGGAGAGTTTGTATTTTATAGGTTCTTACTATGCCCCAAAACACCATGGGACACAGTTTTCCTACACTATAATTACAGAAGGAGGATCAAAGGTAATGCCTGGGTGGGTGTGTACTGACAAGGGTAAAGTCTGTTGCCCACAGTGCAGGAAATAAATGGGGGGTGGAGGGCAGTATTATGATCATAAAGGCACATCATGCAATATACTTGCTTCCTCTGTACCTTTCTTTCCCAAATGCAATGCCTACCTTCTGTGTGGACTGCAGAGACATAGGTCCAATTGTAACGTTTGACTATGTCAAGCATTGCCCTTGCTTGCAAAGTGTCAGAAGGGACAACCCTCAGGAAGTATTTGTACAAAGTTTTGTCACTCAGGTCGATGCTTGTGGCAGAATACGCAATCTGTGGGATGTCGAAGAGCTGAAGCAGGTTCTGCACTTGAATGGCTACGGAGCTGGAGCCCGGGCCGATCACGCCCGCAATAGGCTTCTTAGTCCTGCCTAGGGGGAGGGACTGGCCGTCAGGCAGGCACCGGTTGAGCCCATCCTTTTCATCTCGAATGGAAATCAGAGAGTCCCTGATGAACTCAATGCTCTGCTCCAGAGCCACGGAGGAGTGCCAGCAGGAGTCCCGGATCTCACTGCCCAGAGTGATGTTGGGCAGCAGGACCGGGTCCGCGTTAATCTTATCCAACGTGTGGAACATGGCTTCCACTCTCTGGATGCCATACTGCTCCCTGATCTCTCCACACTTCCTCTCAGGCACCTTCTCGGCCGGAGGCTGGTGGTGGACTGAAAAGAGGGCTCCAATGATGACATCTCCGTCCATTCTGGCCACCGAGCGCTGAGACGAGGCTCCCGCCAGCAACACTTTCCTGCCGGGTCCTCTAGGAAGAAGGGACATCTCCAAAAAGATCGCTGGGAAAAAAACCAGGAAGAGCCGGACCATTGTGCTGAGGACGCGGTCCACAGCCTGCTGGCCGCGTTCCCACGCTGGTCCTGCCAGCCGGTTCTGCGCGCTCACAACGTAGACAGACACCCGACGCCTGCCTCTCCCTGCTCGGTCCTGCTCGCCAACACCGCTGGTTCAACACTTTCGCCGCTTGCACCCCGGCCTCCTTCCCCTCCTCCGCCACCTAGTCCTCCACGACCACCTCCGTGTCCTGGAGACGCTTCTAAAAGGGGAATTCGAGCCCCCTTCTTCACCGGTGCATCAAAGTAAACTGGTCAAGAGTACAATGGGCATCGTGGTGGCAGCCGTGAGCTGGACGCTGCCGACAAAAAAAGGAAGAAAATCAAAGCTCCGTTATCACAAGACCTGTTTCAAAACTCTGGGTCAGTGATGTTAATAGTTGCCCGTTCCATTTCAACACATGATAGCGGCCGGAGGGACAGCTTGGGAGACAGCTGTGGTCAAGGCAGGACGTGGTGCGTCCTGCCCGCAGTGCCCTCATCGGTCCCTGGAGGCGCAGAGCCCCACCGACCCTCCCCCTCCTCCAGCTTCAAGACTCTTCCAGGTCCCCAAATACCCATTACACTTACAGACTTGGGGGGGGGGGAAGGGGAATAAAGGAGAGGAGGAGCTAGGTCTTCCAGCCTTAGAGAACTTTCCGGATTTGAAAAGATCAACTTTTTCCCAGAAGAAATTTGGAAACTCATTATGAGTGTGGAAGCACTACTTCAAGATGAACGCAAAAAAAGGAATGCACCTTTTACTTTAAATTAAAGGGGTTGAAAAGACCTCAACATACAACCCGAGTAGTAAATATAATTTGCCAGCTTGAGGAAATCCATATTAGTTACTAAGGCAACGCCTGGTAAAGTCTCAGCATGTCGGAGTTTGGTATGTCTCCCACACCCCCCCCCCCCCCCCCCCCATACACACACCCAAGAAGTCAGGCTTACTGTAGATGTTCAGGGAGAAAGGGTGCAGATAAGGTAACTTGATGCCCGCGATGGAGAGTGGAAAGAGGGGGCGGAGGGGGCCCCTGCACCCGCCTAAATCGGGACCTTTGGCTTTGCACATTTCTAGAAAGGGAACGGAGGGGAGCGTCTGGGTAGCTCTTGCAGCGGTAGCTCAAGCTCTGCCGCCTTCAGAACCCTGGACAGTGCTCAGTCCAGCTGCGGAAACATTCCCCTGCAGGGCCTGGAGGGGACGCTTCGACCAGCGAGTTGCAATTCTTTGACACCCCCCACCCCACCCCCGACTTCGCTCTTTTAACCCTCCTTCCTGCGTTCTTTACACACACACACACACACACACACACACACACACACACACACACACACCTTTCTTCGCCTCCCACCACCCCTCCATCCTCATTCTCTTTGCCTTGCAGCCAGTGCTCCTGCAGGTATATTCAAACCCGACCGCTTCGGGGGCAGAGGCGCCAAATCTCAGCCGCCTCTGGGGCTGAAGTTGGCTCCCTCTCGTTCCTCCCGGCTCCGTTTCTCAAGGTGAGAGTCGGACAAGAAAGGAGCTAAGGGAGCGGGCGGGGAGCGAGAGCATGAGGTGAGCCAGGCAGGAGGAAGATAACCCAGGCATCCACGGGTCCCGACGCTTCCCGGGGATGCTGGGCTAAAAGAAATTAAGCGGGGATGCCTCTGAGATCAAGAGGAAATCCCACAGACTGCAACTATGTCTGCCACTGTGGGTGGGTTTCACCGCCCAGAGGTGTCTGCTTACCTGGGTCTGCTTGGAGAATTGGACTTGAGACGTACCTGAGTCCGGATAGACAGCGCTATGGTCCTCGGGCCAGAACACCACTCGGGCCACGCTCGGTTCGCAGACGCCTCAGCTCTAAGCCAGACGGTGCAAGGATGCGATCTGGGCTGTACACTAGTGCCCTCTTTCTTCAGCACTATTTTACCGCAAGGAAAAAGAGGGAGGGGGAAGGGGGGAAAAAAACAGGTCACCCAAGGCTTGTCTATTATCTCATGCATAAAAATCAGTCGTTTGATGGTGGGGTGAGGGGGGGGGAACCTAGGGAGAAGTGAGAAATATTAATTCCTCTACTACCAGAGGGTTCTTATAGAAGCTGCCAGATATATGAATAGTCAGATCTGATGAAAGGAGTGGGGAGCCTCTTAGGATGCTTTAGGTGAATATTCTTTTTATATATTTCAAGGACCCAAATACATGTTCTTTCCCTAGAAGTAAAGCCCCTACGGAGGGAGACAGTTAATACATGTGTAGACATTTAGATAAAGTCTATTAGTAGGTTGCAGGGGAAAGGCTGCATAAGGTGAGAGTAGGGGAAAGAGGGGTATGCACATGATGAATCAAGGTAAGCCAAATGAACAGAGACAAACATTGGCTGCATTTTCCAGGTCAAGATGTAACTAAATTAAGAGGAGAGTCAAGTCACATGAAAACAGTGGAGTGAAAAACACTTATCCAAATTCCTCCCAGGCTGCTATCACCCTCCCGACAGGTCTCCAGTGTTGCTTCATTCTGTGTGAAAAGTGGAAGTTAAATCACATTCCTATGGGAACATGTTGGCTGAGCAGAATGTGTCCCAGCTTCTTCAGAGGGGAAAGGCAAGTGACAGTGTGCCTTTCCACTCTGGCTCAAAGCTTTCTATTTGTGTCATCTGCAGAAAAGAAAGATCAACTTATGTGAGTCCCTTTATAATCACCTTGCTCATGTCATCATTTCCTATGGACTGGTGCCATGTCCATCTGGAAGTGGCAATTCCATGTGGCAGTTTTAAATACTCTCGTAGTGTGTTCCATGAAACTTAGGAAAGAAAACAATACTTCCTGTCAAGGACAGATCCTCTTTCTTGTTCTGGTTCTGGTCTTTTTCCCCAGGTGTCAGATTTTTCTGGACTTTAATTAGACAACATAAAGAGGATAGGACTTTTTTTTTCTTTTTCCACAAATAACGCACTGAACCAGGTAATAGCCTTTAGACCTATATGTTCTTGGTTCTGGAAGTAATAGTTTGTTTACTCAAGGAAGATAGGAAGAAGTTTCTATCTTCACACATAGAGTAAAATGATTCTCTACCTGTGCTCTTAGGAAGATGTCTGCTCTAAGAAGAGCAAGACAAAGGTGTTCACAGTGCATCAGAGTATCTCACTTCCTCTGATAGCCATTTAAGTTCCATTTTAGATAATGCTATTCTAGTAAGATAAGCCCTAAATATTATTTTCTTGGAAGATTTCATAGATACGGTGAATGTACAAAAATTCCTGTGCATATATAAAACATTAAACATGATTTGCAGGATTAGAGAAAGAAATGTCTCTGAAGTCCACATTTAGCCTCAATGTGCACTGCTCAAAGCTGAATATTTTTAATATATAACATTTTAATATTGACATAGCTTGGAAAAGAATCTGCTACTAAGAGAATAATTAAACATTCAGATTTATTTGTTTTCAATACAGTCTGAGTAAAAACTATGCATTCAGGCTGGCTGAAACAAATCATTTTAAAGAGGAAAAACTTGGGGATTTTGACATAGGAGGTCTATACATATGTATAAAATATATAGCAGAGGTGTTATGAAAAAATTTTAGTTTCAAACATATCAATTAGATATTATCAATTAAATTCGTTGATAATTATTTAAGACCAACTTTAGAAGGCACAAAGACAAAAATAAGGCAAAAGGAAGGCTTTGAGAAAGAAGAAACAACATCAGCTAAATATGCTTTCTCTTTCTAGAAATTTAGACTTTACCAAGGCAGGGAGGATGTAATACATGTACAGACATCTAAGGGAAGTTTCCATTAGTAGGACTAAAAAAATTACTAAGAGGATGAGCTACATACAAATTAACAAATATAGGTGATCACACTGATATAGGCATATATGGTAATCTATACAAGTTCAAAGAATGTTAAAGGTACATGAATCCAGAAATGCTGTCAGTATGAATATTTATTCAGTGCTGGTAGTGTAGAATATTACATTCAGCATGTGATTTGTAGCATGGGACAAAGTGTTATGAGCATTTTGGTTCGGAAAATCTATTTCATACAACATGCAATGGAGATCACACAAAAGAATACTCAACATACTCTGTCAAGACAATGATTTAATGTGCTGCTGTAACAATAAACACAACAAAATGCTCATTGTTCTCCCATGGCAATAAAACAGTATTATCCATAAACAAAATTGTGATCATTTTTCTTAGGAATGTATGCACAGTTTTCATTGTTCTCCAATCATAAAGGACATCATAGAGGAACTGGTCTATATTTTAAATGAGCAAAAGGCTATAAAATTTTCCACGTATAATCAGTTAAAAATTCACACTTTTCAAAGTGAGCAAGTATAAGGTTTTGTTTTTTTTTTTAAAGAAAGAGATGGAGAAGTCAGGCACATATTCCAAATTATCATGTATTCTAGTGGGTGTTTTGAAAAGTAGAGTTTACACAGTCATTGGAATATGGAAGTGAGGCATACACAAGAGGTAACAGACTCATAATTGAAGAGATAGCATTGACTGAAAATAGAAATGGGATCAAAGAAGGCCTTTGTAGAAAATTGATTTATGGAAAATTGATATGTAATGTATTACTAAGGAAATATAATTATGTTCAAGTAGATCAATGTTGTGGAGAGCGAATTCCATGCTTTTTCATAAAATAGCATGTTCCATGGCAATTAATTCAATCTAATGTGACATTTCTTATATTCTTATATTTAACTCATGGGTTCAGCAAGATAACTCAAGTCGCAGTGAGATTTTTCAGTTTCTTTATCCAATTTTGTTTGTACATTGCTTAAATCGAGAGAAATTGCTGTCTTCATAGAACTTTATGCTCTGAAGCAAAGGCAATAAAAATTATAAAATAAAATCTCTTTCCTTTCAAAAACTCAAAATATTGTTACAAAACATGATTGATTATCAGAGTAAACAAAACATTTTAAAAGAACTAAAATAAGCCAAATTTAATGTACATTCAATTGTTTTATCGGTCTGATTAATTA